AATACCAAGTTTTGTTCGTGGCAACCGCAGCTTCTTCGTCAGTAAGGATTCTGGCATAACCTTTTCTTATAAATGCATCTATTTGTTGGCAGTATTTTTTTGCAAATAAGTCGTCTTTGTCCATTTGTCTTTCGATACTATACAATCTTTTTAAAGCAAAACTTCGGTTTTCTGGCAGCTGGGGATTTTCTTTTTTCCATAGTAAACCAATTTCCCAATGGCCATTTTCTAACTGTTTGCAGGTTTTTTCCATAATCAAAAAACCTTTTTTATCATCATCGGACAATACTTTTTTGTCTTCATTGCTAATGCCTAAATTATCAATAATTAGACTTTGTCGTATTAGATTTTCTAGTTCTTTGATTTCGTTATCGTTTTTATTATAACAGTGCATAGAAAATTCAGGCTGGATTCTGTGTTTGATGTAGGATAGGTTACCATGAATTACCCACCCTAATTTGGTTCTGGAGACAACTGGGGCATTTGCTGGACCTTGAATTACCTCTCTAGCAATGGTTAGATCGATATGATCTTGCCCGATTAGTAATAATGGTTTGGCTTGCAGCATATCAGCAATGGGAACTTGTGAAAGATGAGGCCATTTTGTTGATAGTTTTTGAACGTTTACAGACTGAGTGGGCAGATTTAAATTCGATACAGTACGAACATTAGAAAGTTCATAAATGCTGTTATTAAGTTTTCCCTGAATTTTTACATTTATTCTTCTTGAAAAATTGTCTGTAAATGATGTTGAATTTGTCCAAAACATCTTCAAAGGATCGATGTTACCTTCTACTCCCACTTCTTCAGCAAGACTACTATCCATGAGCGTGATCGTGCTGCCTTCATCAAAAAGAGCGAAAGTTTTAATGGATGTTTTATTTCCTATCACGGTAACAGGCAAAATTCGAAGGAGGGCAGTTTTTGCTACAGACTGTATTTGAAGAGAATGTTCATTCATAATGACTGATAAATGGTCGGGTTTATTTTCATTATTTAAATTTAACTGTTCTGGCTGAACATCTTGGTGCAGTAAATGATGTAATTGATTCGGTAATATATCCTGATTTCTGGAAGAACTGGTATGTAATAAACGATTGTGGTACTTTTTGCAATCTGATATCCCGCACTTTCTCTTTTTAGTGCAATCATATAAAATATGAGAAGCGGCAAGACAGGAAAAGCAGATTTTTTTGATCCTTTACCCACTCCCATCTTTTGTCTGTATTCAGAGCTAGGAAGCTTTTACATTTATAAATTGTATGACTAGGCTTTATACAATATATACACTGCTGTTTATTTGAATCTTCTGATCCAACAAAAACTGTATTTCTGATTTTTCGTTCTTGATATTTTTCTTGCATGAAGTTTGAAGATGAAGGTTTGCATAATAAGCTAGCTGCCGACGATTCTTCATAGAGCCATTCAGAAAATTCGATTAGTGTTGGCATATTAATTTGCTGGCCCTTTACAACTCTTGCCCACTGAAATTGTAGGTGCTCTGGCAATTTTGAAATGAGGGCACTAATAAGTTGAGGGTTGTTGATATAGGGTTCCATTTTTAACGACTGAGCCGTAATAGAAAGATTTTGAACAGCATTTGAAAATTTAATGAACGATAGTGGATAGCGACTATTTACTGGAGGTAATTGTTTGACTTTATTCATCATCGATTCTATTATGTATTCAGGGCGACCAAATCTCATCTCTAGAGTGTTAAGGATACATTTTAAGTTATCTGGAGAAACAAATAATGACTTTACTGCTTCGAAGGCTTCATGTTTTAGTGCTTTTTGCAAACGAATCATATTTTCTTCATCGGTAAACCCACAAGTTTCTGTTGACCTTTTGAATAGCGAAATAAACATGGGCCATTCCTCGACGTTGCCCCCAAAGTAAGGAAGCTCTTTCCCAAGAACATTTCTTAAAGATAGTTTAGATATATTTCCCAGTTGATTATTTTCAGATAGACCTCTAAACGCATTTGTCATGGCCTGAGTTGCAGTCGTAAACTCCTTCACCAGGCGCTCAGATGTTGAATCGACAAGATTAGTAAGATTAGCAGTATTTTTATAGCCCAAGAGCCCACTGCAAATTTTTACCGTCATCTGATAACGAAATGAAATATACCCCAAAAGCATGGAAAAACATTGTACTTTACCAAATGGCACCTGTGCCAATCCCTATCCTGAGCAAAGTAGCTTAAAAAAATTATTTTATAATAAAAAAATCACATAAGGCATGACAGCTCTAATTTCGTTTGCCCTTAAAGTTTTCCAGAAAATAACATTCAAATATATCTTGATATATATCGTTAAAGGGAAATATTTCCTTCCTCTTAACATCGCACAAAAACATCTATCCACGATTAGTAGGTAAATATCATTAAAAATATGAATCAATGTTTGCTGATTTAAAAATTTATTTGTATGCCTATTGTTGTGATTCATTTTTACAGGTTGCCATAGAAACGACAAAAAACTACTATGATTATGGTTTAAAATAATTGTCTAACAAGAGTTTATAAATATTATTGACTATCTCTGCAAATGGTTAATACAATACCATCTTTCTTCCTTTCATACATAAACATGGTTTAAAAGGTAGGTAAAAATATTAATAATTCAGGTTTAAAAGCGAGATTCGCAATGAATTAGGATTGTAATTTTCAGGGAAAACATAATTGTCGCTGTCATGTTTTATTTGATTTTTAGAATATAAAATAATTTTTTTTTACCACTTTGCTCAGGATAGGGATTGGCACAGGTGCAATTTGGTAGAGTACAATGTTGTTACATGCTTTTGGAGCATATTTCATTTCGTTATCAGATGACGGTCGAAATTTGCAGTGGGCTCTCATACTATTAGGTTCATGTTGAATAATTTTTGGACTTTTTTCAATAAAATATAGAGATTCTTTATGTGACAATTCATCGGCTTCTAACCAAGTTCTAACTTTTTCATGGGCACATGGTATTTCAGTATATATTAGTCTTTCATTTGATTTAATGGAAACTTTAGAGCTATTACTTTTAACACCAGTGCTATTTATACTATTTTCTATTATCTTTTCGGCTTCTATTGATGCTTTCGCTTCTATAATACTTAACTTTCTTTCATATTCTCTTCGTTCAAACTTTCTCCGTATCTCCTGTTCTTGTTTCTGAAATTCTATCTCTTTTAAATCTTCTTCTCGCTGCAGCTGGTTTATGGCTTCTAACTTTTTTAATTCTATTTCTTTTAATTTCTCACTGGTCATTGAATATATGGACCTTTTGGACTTCGTCGACGCTTTTGCACTTTGTTCGTATGGACTGTCCGGATATCTCAATGGCGGTATTCCTGCAGTAACCCTGCTGGATTTTCTGACGGCACCCTCTTTGTGAGACATTTTAGTTTTGCACTTTTCTCTCGGCCAAAATGAGAGCTACGGGGACTAAAATGACTCTACAAGCGCTCGAAAGGACCAAAATGTTTGGATAAACACTTATTATTGGCAAAAATGAACTTTTTTCCTTTTTAACTTTTATTGACAACTTATATCAAATTATATCTGACAACATTATTTTTACATACTATGATAAACAAAAAGAAGGTTATATTAAGTACTAAGCGCCCAAACACTTTTGACTACAACATGTAATAATAACTAGTGTAGGTTCTTTTTTACCTATGTATTTTTTATGTAAAGAAATGGAGTTGTTTTTTATTTTATCAGTTATTGTACAATAATTTGTGGTTAATTTATTTTTTTTGCTGGACCGGCCGGCACGACGCCGTTTTAATTGACTTTCCGCGCCGGTCCAAGGGGTCCCATTCGCCCTTGTCCATGAAACTCATAATATTGCGACGTTACCGTAGTCCCTTATGCTTTTTATATGCGTAGAAACATTTCCAAACCATTTATTTAAATTACTCATTCAAAGATCTGTGCAGATATTTCGAAAGATCTTCCAATTTTCTCCGATTCAAATTATCTGCCGAAATAACATCGATAATAATATTGTGGAAATGTACAGAAATATACATATATATTCATATAGTGGATAAAAGTAGAATTTTCAATATTCATTTATTTACATTTTTGTATGAATATTTAAAATTTAAAATATTTGTTTATATTTTTGCGGATTTTGTCAGTATCTTGAAATAATTTATTGTAAGAAGTGAGCTACAAAAATGCTTTAACATATCAAATTTAGGAATTAATTTGTTTCATGTGCTTTTGAATTTTGATTACTCGTACTATTAACCAGGTAAGAATGTTTAATAAAAATGATCTTTAAATTTTATTTTAAGGTATCGTACCAATAATATATTATGTTCTGTTGTAATGTCTTAAAGGTTATTTAGCTTCTTCGTTCAACTGTCTATTCAATACCTTTTGTTATAAAAATTATAGAGAACTATAAAGAATATAATTTAATTCCTCACTCGCTATCTCTATGCAGAACATGATGTGACATATCCAATTTAATACCGTTGCTTGCCTAGTAAATAGCGAATCGTGTGAAAGTATATATCTTAAAACTAAAGGTTACCAAAGTACAATAATGTTTTACCACTACACTGTTCCTATAAAGTACGTTAACTAACGCATCAAGCAAAATAAAAAGGAGACGAATTATATTTGGACGTGAAAGAGATAATGAGACCAACTTGTGAATCGTCTTTCTGCTTGCCGTAATTGGACGCATGGTTACCGGTAGTGGAATAAGTATGGCTGTGTTTCTGTCCATTTAACGGCATTGTTGAGTCAGGATTGCAATGTTAACGCATTGTATATAAAAAAAACTTATATATTTGTTTTAAATCACACTACTGCCAATTTTGATTATTAATTTATCGGGGACTATGATGGCTCTGGAACATATATTTTATTTATTGATAATATTTTCATCTAATTTTCTACCATAACTCTTAGTTTTAGAAACCAACAAAAATTATTATTATTATTATCATTATTATTATCCTTTATAATGTATTTAATTTTCTTGCAGATCGGATGATCCCAGAGCTCTTAGACGGCATAAGACCCATAAGGGCACTATTATGCATGTTGGAAAAGGGTTGGAACTACATCCCTTTCTTAAAAAATTGTATGATCATAGCCCTCATGCGGTAAGTATTTTCTTTTTTATTATGTCTCAAAGCCTTGAAAAATGTTTTCAATCGAATTTATCAAAAACGTCGTTTTTCGGTCAGAAAACAATCGAAAGAGTAGAACTTTTCTATGTACTTCAAATGAGCTCCTGTCCAATTTCTAAACATTCTTTTTCATTTCCAGTTTTTTTCATTTTTTTTTTATTGTAAAGTAGTCGACTATAATCCACATGCACATCAAATTGGAATTGCAAACATTTTTAATTGAAAAATAAAAATAAAATCCTAAATTAATATTATACTACTTTTGTTTTTTTTTTTTTTATTCTTCGTCACTACTCATTTTTGATAAAACTGTATTTTTTACACTGATTAAAATAAACTATAATATTATTGATATTTGATACAAACACACTGACATTACAGAAATTGTTCAATTATTAACAAGAATATATTGACATGAAATCACCCATTATATGAAATCTTAATCAACGAAAACTCTCGGGGCGAGTTCTAATTAGATTGCAAAGATACATTTTATGATTAATAACACAAGATGGTTTTGATGAATTTCTATTAGATAATTTTGTAAGTTATACTGTCACATGTTGTTAATCAATCTCTCTATTTCTCATTTGCATTAAAGGACCACGCACTTTTTATATTGAAAAATGTTTTCAGTCTCAAGGTCTAATTTTTGGTGGAAAATGTAGATCTCAACATCCTGAACAAAAAAGGTAATGGGCACACAAAAATGGACCGTTAGAATTTTGCGCTATGGGCCATAGAAGGTCAGCAACTGCATTTTCAGGTTTCGGGTCATTTTTATCAAAAAAGAGCGTATTCAGTAGCCGATTATGGAGACATGCATGCCTGGAGGTGTGTTAGAGTGAAAAAGTACTATATATACAGGGTGTTTCCGAACTTGGCGTCCAAATTTGAGGGGTGGTAGTTCGCAAAATTTGAGAGCGATTGGCAGATTTCATTTTTCTAAAAAATTATAATAAACAAAATAGAGCCATTATAAAAAAATCAAAGAGCGGGTCCTACCCTGAGCGCGTAGCGCAATAGTTGCCTGATCGGTTACTTATCGGGATTTACAACTCAAAAACAGATGCGATTTGCAATTTTGTCGATTCTAAGCATAGCACGCGCGAGTCGAGGCGATATTATCGCTGTGCAGGACCGTACCTGTTTAAAATTTTTAAATAATTTTTAATTATTTTTATTTTAAATATTTTGTAAAAATGAAATCTGCAAATCGGTCTTAAATGATGCGAACTACCACCCCTACAAATTTGGACGCCAAGTTCGGAAACACCCTGTATATAGACAAAAAAATAAGCCCAAAAAAACGAAATTAAAAAATATCCATTCCGGTCTTCCACACCACCTACTGAGTTTCCGAACAAGGCGCATTAGCTTTTTTTATAGCTCTATACTCCACTGATGTTCCACAAACTATTATTGTCATTTGCTCTGGCATGACCGGAGCGCGTATTTCCATAGTATACTACTGTACAGAGCAGGCCGTTGTCTGCACCGTAGTAGGCTGTACCATCCTTTAAAGTTATGCCACATTACAATGTGTACTGCGATGCAGACGTCGCTCTGTTCTGTAAAGTAGTATAATATGTAGTCGCCAAATGCGTATTTAGAAACTACAAACTCTACTCGATTGCAGAACTTTGAAATTATTCGTTGTAGGAACGTATACTTCCTTTACTTGGCTAGCAGTACCTATTTTATGACAGGTAAATGAAGTATAAATGTTTATTCCCAATAATGCAATTTTAGTATAATAAACATTGAAATAAATATTATAAAATATGTTGAAATAAAGATATAATATAAATTATTTGTTTATTATATTATAAAATAATATTAGGTTAAACATTTATTAGTGTTTAAAAGTAAATTTTGTAATTATTTTATCTATTGTATTAGTGGCACCGACTTTAACATTTCACTACAACTAAGAACTACCAACAATAATTTAGTAATATTAAAATTTTCTGATGGGTGCACATAATGGTTACTACAACACCCTTGTGATTCATTACAGCACGCCCTCTATAAGGGCTAAGTAAAGAGTTAGGTAATTAATAGTTTTCATATTAGAAATAGAAAAACATCATGATGCATTTTGATTTTAATAAACAATAAAATAAAGATTATAAAAATGCTAGTAGCTACATTTTCCAAATTTTCTTGCAATTCCCATTCGTGTGAATAATTTACCTCCATCCCATCTTCATAGCAAAAGCTTTTTAAAATTTGCAATATTTTGTTTTCAAAATTCATTGATAACAAAGTGTCTATGACAGACTCCATAGAAAAATAGACTTGCACTGACATTTATTACAGCGTCAAAGATTGTGTGGCATGGCTAAGACATAATGACGCGATCTGTACTTAAGTATAGTTTGTAGCATACAAATACGCCGTTGGGGATTACATATTATACTAGCTTTCAGAGCAGAGCGCTGTCTGCATCGCAGTACAGATTGTAATGCGGCACGCGCCAAATGATACTACATAGCCTACTACGGTACAGACAAAGGCGTGCTCTACAGTCTACACAATAGTATACTATGGAAATACGCGACCGGGGCGTCGAGCACAAACGAAGCATGGGGCTTGCCGTCCAAACATAATAAAAAAAAACTGAAACCAAAGATGAAGATGTGCGCGTGTCACGTTTAACCACAGGAAATGTTTATGGCAATCTGTTATCACAAAGTACTTTTGCACTCTTGGATCACTGCAAATCTCCACAATATAAAGAAATCACAAAGAAAAATCTTTTCGCGACAGGTTATTCGGCAATCGTAAGCCAAAAGATCACTGTAAAGTAAATCTTGACTGAATTAAGGTCAAAAGCAGACTATTTTCGGCTTTCGCTTATTCCAATACGGGGCAGTATTTGTAAGCAATATTTTCCTCTCGCGGTTTTCAAGAGAACCGCTCTCTGTTATCCGACGTCTATAATGCATATCACCTGAGGTCCCAAGAGAAAGAGAGAGGGAGTAAGAGGGAGATATTGTAGGTAAATACAAGGAATATCCGTGTAAATAAACAATCGAAAATGTGGAATATACTGGTTACAAGGTTTATTAACGATTATATGTATACACGAAAGAAACTGTATACACGGGAGACCAGAACCTACAGTAGTATTAGATCGCGTCCGAGATGCCAGAGCAAATGCCAATATTCACGTTGAAATCGAAGTAGTTGAGATGGAATAGTTTGTGGAACATCAGTGGAGTATAGAGCTATTGTCAAAGAACCACTATAAAAAAAGGTAATGCGCCTCATTCGGAACCTCAGAAGGTGGCGTGGAAGACCGGAATGGATATTTTTTAATCTCGTTTTTTTTTTTGGCTCATTTTTTGGCTTCTTTTTTTTTCTATATATATATATATACCAATAAAAACTCCCAGGACGGATATTTTGGTAAGTAATAGAGATATTTAAATTCTGCAAAAGCTAGTTCATAGAGCACTAAGAGAGCTTTAGATTTAGATATAAATTAATTTTAATTACGTCAATATGTAGATGGCGCTGCGCTCAATATATTTTTTTCGATGGGAGGATCTTTCTTATATAACGCATCTTGTAAAAATGCAGTTTTAAGTAGATTTTGTTTTATAAACTAATTCGATAAATCTAGCCATTTTTGATATACAGAGTGGGTCACACAAAATAGTTTCATCCTGTTTTTCGGCATTAATCATTGGATTTTTAGAAAATACTTAAACATGTCGATTTTTATTCCCAATTAAACACATTTTTACAATACAGACATCTGTCATGTGTCAACCCCCTCCCTTCTACTTCTTCAACCCCTTAATTTTAAATCCGTAATGTATCATGTACGGTACATCATTGAAAAGGTAATTTTATGGGAAAGTCAGAAATATGACTGTTTATTGCAATATTTTTAATTTTAGCGCCCTCTATCAGGATAAAACACCTGTAATGTATTATAAAGTGTGACACTTCATTTGAAAGCTAATTTAATTATATTTCCATATTGCACTTGCAACAAAATAAAGTTAGCAATAATGTTTAAAATAATGCATGAATAATTTTCAAAGTATTGCAAGTGCAATATAGAGGATATTTATATTAATGTTATGTGGTGAATTGAATTAGTGATTAAATTTGCTTTCAAATAAGGTGTCACACTTTATAATACGTACACTTTTTTTATCCCGATAGAGGGCGGTACAATTAAAAGTATTGCAATGAACAGTCATATTTCTAAATTCCCTATAAAATTACCTTTTTAATGATATACTACACATTGTATTGTCACACTCTATAACACGTAGTAGTTTTTTATCCCGCTAGATGGCGATAAAATATGAGTAACGCAATATACAGAAATATTTCTGAATTTTCCATTAGTTTACCTTTTCAATGATGTGCCCTACATGGTACATTACCTATTTAAAATTACGGTGTTGGAAAAGTGCAAGAGAGGGGGTTGACACATGACAAATGTCTGTATTGTAAAAATGTTTTTAATTTGAAATAAAAATCGACCTGTTTGTGCATTTTCTTAAAATCCAATGATTAATGCTGAAAAACAGAATGAAACTGTTTTGAGTGACCTACTCTGTAAATCAAAAATGGCTAGATTTATCGAATTAGTTTATAAAACAAAATCTGCTTAAAAATGCATTTTTTACAAGATGCGTTATATAAGAAAGATCCTCCCATCGAAAAAAAATATATTGAGCGCAGCGCTATCTACATATTGACTTATATAAAATTACTTTATATTTAAAACTGAAGCTCTCTTAGCGCTCTATAAACTGGCTATTACAGAATTAAAATATCTCTATTACTTACCAAAATATCCGGCCTGGGAGTTTTTATTGGTACACCCTGTATATATAGTACTTTTTCACTCCAAGACACCTCCAGGCATGCATGTCTCCATAATCGACCACTGAACACGCGTTTTTTTTGATAAAAATGACCCGAAATCTAAAAACGCAGGTGCC